TTGATGCAACTGTGATTAATCAAACACCCATTGTCAAATTCCTGGTTCCCTAGGGTTCAGTGGTGGGAGGCATGGAAAGAAGTGGGTGTTGCGGGAAGGTTGCAATTGCCTGGCTATCTGTTAGTACCACAAATGTTTTGGGAAATAAATGGATTAGACAGGTAGCAATAACACAAAGTTCCTATCTCAGTGGACAGAGTTTATAGCATATTGCTATCTTTATCAAGGAAGGAAGGAAGAAGCTTACCCCAAAAATGTTGGGGCTCACTTTATTTGATCATGTCTGAGAAAATTAATTGACATGGGAGTAGTTTCTCTTCAGGTAACTAGGCTTCTGAAAGGAGAGCATTTGTTGTAGTCGACTGGGTGCAATCCAGGTACATGGTACAGTTGAGTTAGCTTTATACTTGTGGAATTTAAGAAATGAGAGTGGGGTAAGGGGGACAGCTCTCACAAATGCAGAATTGCCTTCACAAAACAAAAAAAATTCCTTCCAGTAGCACCTTAAAGACCAACTAAGTTAGTTCTTGGTATGAGCTTTCGTGTGCATGCACACTTCTTCAGATTCTTCAGGTATCTGAAGAAGTGTGCATGCACACGAAAGCTCATACCAAGAACTAACTTAGTTGGTCTTTAAGGTGCTACTGGATTTTTTTTTGTTTTGACTATGGCAGACCAACACGGCTACCTATCTGCCTTCACAAAGTAAGATGTGGGGGAAGGTCTCATTTTCAAACTTGAGAGTCTGCAAACAGGAGGACTCTAGCTCACTAATAGAGCACCACTGAGATACGGAAAGGCTTGTGTTGAATCCCTGGCATTTCCGGGTAAAGATGGGAACGATTCCTATGTAAATACTGGAGAGCCACTGCCAGGCAGTTTCCTATGTTCCTATAAACAGACTTCTTCCAAACTCTGGATTGTCCCTAATTTTTGAATTGTAAATCGGTTTCTTATTCAGAGGGAGAGACACTTGCTACCATGAGGCAGTAGCTTTGCTTACAAGATTAAGTAGAAACCCAAACGAGACAGTTACTTACAGGATTAAGCAGAAACCAAAATGATCAAGAGGGTAGAACAACTCCTGTATGTGGAAAGTTTACAATATTTGGGGCAAGGAAGAGAGGAGACATAACAGACTTTTATAAAATCATTTCTCTGTCTCTCATAACACTAGAACTGGGAGACATCAGTGAAGCTGAATGTTGGAAGGTTCAGGACAGAAAAAAGAAAGTATTTCTTCACATGGCACAAAGTTAACTATGGAATTTGTTCCTACAAGAGGGAGTCATGGCCACCAACATGGCCACCAACAATTCATGGACCACTAACAAATCAGTGACCACTAACGATGATGGCTCCGCTCTGTCTCTGGTTGGAGGCAGTGTGCTTCTGAATACCAGTTGCTGGGGAGGGGAGAGTGCTTTTGTGCTCAGATCCTGCTTGGAGGCTTCCCACAGACATCTGGATGGCCTCTGTGATAACAGGATGCTGGACAAGATGGGTCATTAGCGTGATCCAGCAGTCTCTTCTCATGTAGTATGGTAGCCCAAGTGTCTGTGATCTTGTCAGCGCTCCCCTTGTCCATGCAGTGATGCTGCTGTGACAAAAACAAGTTTTGTGCATGTTTTGGAAATCTCCAGCTTCTCAAGCAAAAGGGAATCTGTAATTGTGAAGCAGGCATCTGTTCTTTTTAACACACACACACACACACACACACACACACACACACACCTTTATTGTTCAGTTATAGCTTAGAGTTGATTATATCAGTTAAGGGTGTGTTCTTGATCAACCATCAAAATAGTTTTTTTAGGAGTAATATCTACACATCAAGGAGAGCTATGTATTTAAATATTCTCCACAGAAGATACAATAACAACAACTAGTAATTGTGCCATTGTGCAGACTAGGAGATCTGAAAGAGTGCTAGATGCATTTATTCATTTAATGGGTCTTCATGTGAACTAAGTACTTACCCACATCTATACTTTACAAGCCTTTAACGCACTTTTAGCTATTCATAATGTTGCATCTCTTTTGGGGTACAAACAGAGCTCTTTACAAAGGTTCGTGTGTGGAACATGGTAGGAAAGGGCAAACCTGCCCCAGTTTATTTTCTGATCCAGGCACACAACACCTGAAGATCACAATGAGACAAAAGCCTTCAGCTAGTTCCAAGCCTTCCCAGGTTATGGTTCCCCCTTACTGAGTTGCGGTGAGGACTCTGAGCATTGGAGGGGATTGCTCTCAGCTAGTGGGTGAGTAGAGGGTGGTGGTGGGGGGGGTGATTTCCTGGCACCTGAGTGTTTTCTGGCAGTTGTGCCTCCCTTTTGTATTCGTTTGATTATTGCTCTATATTGTCAGACGTTCTGCTGGATGTCCTTATATCTGGTGTCTTGTTTATGAACAAATAGCACAAGAAATGACTGCATTGGATAAAGAAATCCATCTTCTCTAATAAGTTGTTTGAAGATGATAATGCTCCTTTAAATAAACTGGAGATCATTGAGAATGTGTAGCATGCCATTTAGTACGCAAATTCAGGCGATGCATTTTAATAATAGATCATGGGGGGGAGAGGGGAAGGAAGCGCAAGCTACTGAAGCTTGCAAAAAGCAGGCCCCCAAAGCTTTCATGTTTTATTGGAGCATATGTTTTGGAAGTGGCAGCATTGACAGTGGTGGCGTAGATCTTCTTTTTATCTTGTTTTGATTCAAAGGATATTTGAATTTTATTTTTGGCAAACTTTTTATCTAGCCCCAAAGGGGTTCCTTGGCTGCCGTGACAGAGGAATAGCCATAATAAACACATTATGTGATACTTGTAAATTTCACAATCTTGCTATTGCTTCACTCGCACACCAGGGGAGTGAAAATCTTCCCAAAGAAATCAAATAAGCCTGTAGTCAAATACCTGGCAGGTGTAAATATGAAACGAAGTCGCACAAATGTTGTTGTTATTTTCCAAAATCCAAACTGCATGAGCTATTTCAAATAAAGGAGAAACAAATCTTGAGCTCATAACTTCTTGTCTCCAGGGATAAAGTGTGAAATGGATTCTACTTATATATGAACAGTTGCATTTTATTCTTATTCTAGGCACTCTCATAGCAGTTCTTTTAAACTCTATTAACCCAGCAGGAGCTGTTTTAGTTGTGCATACTTTAAATATTTTTTATTCAACTTGATTTAAACTGAACACATCTGTCGCATAGGGGTGTTGGGTCATGTGTGCAAACCAAATTTATTTTGTTCTCATGACAAAATTTCATTAAACATTCGCATCCTGATTCCTTGGGCTTTTACTGACTTTTGTGATAAATTAGTAGTAGCATTTTCATCTATAACTGTTTTAACTCCAAGGAGCCCAAGACAGCATGTGTGACACACTCCTTTTTATCCTCACAACATTCCTGTGAGATATGGACTGGCTAGGGTTGCCACCTTTGGTTGGACAAAACACAGGACAGGACAGGCAAAATAAAAGATGAGGTGGGGTGGGGGGCCATGTGCCCCCCACCATGCTGGGTGCCATGCCCCTGCGGGAGGTCACCACGCCCCCAGGACGCAGGCCACCCCCCCCCTCGGGCGGTGCGCCACGTCCCTGGGATGCACACCATGCCCTCGCGGGCAATATGCCACGCCCCCTGGGATGTGCACCAGCCACGTCCCTGCCTGCTCTCCGCCCCCGGTGCCAGAGTGTGCAGCTTTGCCACTGACCCTCACCCCTCCCACTCAAACCATGTGAAGAAGAAGAAGAAGAGTTTGGATTTGATATCCCGCCTTTCACTCCCCTTCAGGAGTCTCAAAGCGGCTAACATTCTCCTTTCCCTTCCTCCCCCACAACAAACACTCTGTGAGGTGAGTGGGGCTGAGAGACTTCAAAGAAGTGTGACTGGCCCAAGGTCACCCAGCAGCTGCATGTGGAGGAGCGGAGACGCGAACCCGGTTCCCCAGATTACGAGACTACAGCTCTTAACCACTACACCACACTGGCTCTCCTTCAGTCTCTTTGTTCATGTGGTGGAGGTGACTCCACTTCCTCTCCTGCCACCCATCCAATCTCCATGGCTGCTTCTTCCCTCATCCCCACTCCTGATCTCTAATTTCAGATATGGTGATATATCAGAATATTGTGATGTTTAGCTGCTGATATGCCCTACTCTGTTTTTTAGTATACTTAAAATCCTTTGCTTATTAGGGGCTACACCACATTTTGTTCAAAAAATTGCTTTGCAGAGGTAACTAGCACAGAGTTATCAAAATTTTCATAAGCAGGCTGCCCACGACTTGGCTTTTGAAAAATTGGGGGTCCTCACTAATTAGCTAATTGGGAACCACTGCACTAAGACATAGAAGAAGTCTCTATGTCCTTGGGGAGAGTACCAGAAAACCCAAAAAATAATTTGACTTAGTTCAGACTTCTGGGTAAATAGTTCAAGCAAAGCTATCTGCAAACAGTAGGGGGGGGGATTCATCCTGTATCTAAACACAGCACATGACAATTTTATATGTAGATTTTTCATTATGCACAGAATTTCTGGAAATCTACAACTGGCTGTGGCTTTCCAGTGTCACAGTCTTCAGATGGGATCCATGTTTACTCCTTCACCAAACTGTCTAACACATTGGAACTATGTAGCAAGTGGATTGGTCATCATTCTTAACATTAGTATGCTAAAATCTAGTAGTATTATGGGTTTGTAGCTTTTCTCATTAGTTACTGCCTCTGAGTAAAAACTCCATACCTGTATTCCAAAAACTTCCCACTGATCTGACCCAGATCCTTTCAACATTTAGTTCCCTTGAAACGTTGTAGTAGCCTACACTATGAAACAAATGGCGTCAACAAATAGTCATCACCACAGCAATTATTTTCAATTTTGTTTACTTTTTGACTTAATCTACATATAAACTGTACCTTTGTGCAAAACTTAAAAAGAAGTAATCTCTCTTCAGCTTCCATATTTCAGTGGAGGTAGTTTCTGAGACAGCAAAAGTGGTAATTTTGAGGATTTTGCCTCAAATGAAGGAAATGATCACCTTACATATGCCCCTCATCCTCCTTAGTAGTAGAAGGGAATGTGGTGCTTGACAGACCCCATTTTCCCTTCTTCTGATGCTCCTCACAGGTCATGCCCAGGTTCAGTTGTTCCCTTTCCTGCTGCTCCTCATACGGTATGGATGTTGTCTTCTGGATATGCCACGTCTCCAGTTGCTCCCCTTCTGTGTTGCATCCTGCCTGTGGGAGCATAGGAAGTGGTTGTTCTTCTTGTTCCTGCGCTGTTGCGTTGTCTTTACAGGAAGCAAGCATATGCACCTTGCTCTCATCGTCCTCAGCTTCTTGCTCTTCATTCAGGGAGGGTATTTCAAGAATGCCAGTGTATAGGTTGTCCTTTCTTACACACAGTTCTTCAGAGGTCCCACTCAGAGGCAAAGAGCTCAGCTTTGCAAGTCCTAGAGGCCGTTGCACTTCTAAGTAAAGAGTACCCTGATGGTCCTGGTCCTCCTTGTCATAGGTGCCCTCAGACCCAGAATCCCCACAGTCCAATTTTCTTTGCTGTTCTTTCTCATAGCTTAGGTTGTCAGGAAGTGTAGGAGTATGTTCTGATGCATTGAGCTTTTGCTTCTCCTGTTCTTCAGTATAGGCAGTGCCCTTACATCCGGAATGTGCATAATCTAGACCTTCTTGCATTTCCTTTTCATCATGGTGTGTGCTAATTTGTTCCAGTAAAAGAAGCTGCTGTGCATCTGAGTGTTTTTGCTTTGCAACATGAGGAACAACATCCTGAGGCAAACTGTTTATATATGCTAGTTTTTGCAGATCCATTGTGCAAGCTACACCCAGGGGCAATGTGGTTATGTTTTCTTTTGCAACAGCTTGTAGATCCATCTGGTGGGGAACATACTGATGATCTTCTGACATGCTGAGAAAGCTCTCTAATGTTGAGCTTCTGAAAGCTTGTGTGTCTTCCTGTTCCTTCTCACAGGTTGTGTCCTCCAATGGAAAGCTCATAGCTTTGGGTAAAATAGGCAGTTGGTCTTCTTGGTCAAACAAGTTTATCTCATTGGAGGAGGTTTCTCTTACAAAATCTAAAAGCTGTTGTACTTCTGGCTGTTCTTGTTCATCATTTCCACACATGGTAGACAAAATATCTGGGTATTTTTGTTCCACAGGCTGCTGTACCTCCTGGTTAGCTTTGTAAGCCTGCTCCTCCTTGTGAACATCTCCTTTAGATACAGGATTTATTTGACTCCAGAACACTGGTTTCTCCATGTTATGGGTGATACCCATACCATGTTGTTGTTGCCTCCCAACCTGCTGTTTCTCATTGCATGGTACAGCTGGTTGGTTGAACAGTTCCTGCAAAGAAGTTGTGCCCTTGGAATCAATACTTGTGTTTTGTTCCTCTTGAGTTTTGTTTTCACTGGCAGTCAATGTACTGTTTGGTTCTAGTTCTCTAGTCTGCTGCAGCTCCTGAAATGGCACATCTTGGTGACTCCGCTTCTGGTCCTTCTTACAGGGCAAACCTTCCAATATAATCCCTGTATGACCTCTTTCTTTTTGTTGTTCCTTTTCATCGGTTACTTCTTGGAGCACTGCACTCAGCAATTCAGATTTTCTATGTTGTCTGCTTTCTTCAGCTGCCATAATTAGATACTCCTTCCCTTCTTCAGAGGGATCACCCTCTAATTTTGCACCCACTACCTTTTTCTTTACCTTTTCCAAAGATAACACACTCATATTATCTGATCCCTCCTTTTGTTGTGGCGTTTGGAAAGTATTTGCACTTGTTTTTTCATCACATTCTCCTTGCTTTTCTTCCAAAAATATATCACTTAAAGGCATAGGTATATGGGGATCTTGAATTTTTCTGTCATAGGGCTGGGTACATACTGCCAAAGCTGGCTTGATAGCCTCTGTTTGTACACCCAAGTCACCTGCAGGTGTCATCTTCCAATAGTCTTGGCCCATGTTCTGATCTCTTTGCTCAAAAATGGTGACATCACAGGATAGATCTTCAGGATAATTCTTTTTCTCGTTTTTCTTCTTTCTGTCCTTGGGTCTCCTCCCTGGCAAGTACAACCGCCTGTCAACATACAAGATATAAATAGGGACTGAAATGAGGATCTCTTCTCAGCCCTGTATCCTAATATCATAACAGCCTAGCAGTGACCTCAACCAGTGTGCCTAATTATAAATTTGTAAGAATTGGTAAGTGCTTAACAAAGACTAGAGCTTTCCAAACTGGGTGTCACAACACGTTAGGATGTTGGCTGCAGTGTGTAGGTCTGTTGTGTGAACACTCCCCGCATTCCTTCTGGGACTGGAAAGGGGTTAGTTTAACCTCTGGTTTGCTAGTAAAACTGAATTAGTGTGTCGCAAAATGATGCATGTCACCAACACGAAAAGTTTGGAAAGCTCTGTTATAGACTGTTAAATTCATGCATAGGTGCTTATTCCCTGGGGCTTTGGATGCCCGAGCACCCACAAAATTCCCCTTGAAGGGTCTGGGCACCCACAGATTTCGGCGCAAGGGCCATGCACACTGCATGACACCCACAGCCCCGGATACCCATGGTCGCAGGGCCAAGCTGACACTCCTGAATTCATGGCTCTCTAAACATTTCTTGGTTCTGTTATCTGGGAAATGCCATCTCTAAACTTTGTCTTCCAGCAAAGCAGCCGCTGTGTGGGAAAAAAACAACCATTCATACCTTCTAGGGATGCAGCAACATAAGGCTGAGGCTTGGAAACACCTAGAAGGGTGCTCTTCTCCAGCAGCATTTGCATCTTCTTCTATAGCATCTGCACAACTTACAACCCTCTCTTCACTCATTCCCCAAAATAAAAAGTAGAAAAATAAAAGTCTTAGAAAGGAAGAACACTGACTCTTAGCCAGTGCTTGGCTTCTATGCTCTTAAAAAATGGATTTTGTTGACCACTGGCAACATAATGGCCACATTTACCAGCTAGTGTGGCTTGTATGGCAATAGCAAACTGAATCCTTTATACGAACATCTTTATGACATCACCAGTTCTAGAAGGCTGTTGGGTAACCATAGCAGCATGGCTATGGCTCCCAGAAATTGAACATTTGTGCTATGATAAGACACTAATTTGCTTATTTGATACATCGTTACTTTAGCTTTTTGAATGCATAACCTTGATATTTTCATGAATTTCCTCCGTGAATCTGTCTAATCCTCTTTTAAAGCCAACCAAGTTGGTGGGCATCATTACCTCTTCTGACAGCAAATTCCACAGTTTTACTATGCACTGTGAAAAGACGTACTCCCTTTTGCCTGACCCGAATCCTCCAGCATTCTGCTTCCTTGGAGAACCCTGGGCACTAGTGTTTCTAAACATCGTGCATAACTTTGTACAACTCTGTCATTGCCCCTCCCAACAACCCACCTTTAAAAAATAATAATAGAAAGCTCCAAATGTAACATTTCCTTCTAGGGGAGTTGTTCATTGGCTGAGCTGTGGCAAGTAGAACTAAACAATATTCCAAGTTATCATAGATTTCTATAATGGCATTACGATGTTTATTTTTTTAAAAAATAATCTTACAATTTATATCTTGCCTTTCAGGATATAAACCCTTCCATTGTGGATTGTTGTTAGATTACAACTTTTTAAAACAATTTTTTAAAATAAGAAAATGTTATCAGAATCCTTTCCTTTGGCTAATTAAACAGTCTATGGCCTTTTAAACTGTTGGAGGTGGGAGTAGTTGTTTTTGTTAGTTACTATGTTATGTATTTTTGTTTGTTTTTTATATTGTAAACCGTCCAGTGATCCTCAGTTGAAAGGTGACATAGAAATTGAATAAATAAATAGAGTAAAATTTCCCCAGAACATTTGCTGATAGATTATCCTGTAGCGGGCAACATACATGCGTCCATTCTCAGCAGGCCCTGGGGTGGTCTTTGCCTGTTTGACTGTCTCTCTTTTCCGCAAAGCAGGGCTGGCTAACCTGTGGCCATACTGATGTTGTTGGACTCCTGATGTTGTTGGTGTTTTAGGTGTCTCCATCATGGGCAGATGGGGCTTGTCTCCCTGGGAAGGTAGCTCATCTAAGAGAAGGAAAACTCTGATCCTAAACCTCCGCTGCCTTGCAGAATATCTTCGGGAGTAAAAAAGGCTAAGGAGTAAACCATACAGAAATCTGAAGTGTAGTCCCTAAGATGTTTGGGTGGTACTTTGTACGCCTCCTTCTGGCAACTGCTGCAACCAAACTGGTGCCAAATGCTCTGCTTTCCTTTGGTCCACATGAGTGAGGGCAAGAAGGGGGGGGCGGATCTTGTTGTCTGAGCAGCTCAGGAGCTCCATACACACTACCCAGGCTTGTGCCCCAGGGAGGTGGTCACTTTGGTGACGCACGTGGCGCTGTGGGTTAAACCACAGAGCCTAGGACTTGCTGATCAGAAGGTCGGCAGTTCGAATCCCCGCGACGGGGATTCCCGGGGATTCTCCTGCCAACCTAGCAGTTCGAAAGCACATCAAAGTGCAAGTAAATCAATAGGTGCCGCTCCGGCGGCCAGGTAAACGGCGTTTCTGTGCACTGCTCTGGTTCGCCAGAAGCGGCTTAGTCATGCTGGCCACATGACCCGGAAGCTGTACTCCAGCTCCCTCGGCCAATAAAGCGAGATGAGCGCCACAACCCCAGAGTCGGTCACAACTGGACCTAATGGACATGGGTCCCTTTTACCTTTACCTTTAATGTTGAATTTCACTCCCAGAGGCTTACTCCCTTGTCTCTCGAAACAGACTGATGTTTCGCCTCCAAAACAAAAAACTATTATGTATGGACTACATTCATGATATCGTAGAACCACCCTGGGCTCCTTTAGAAGGAAAACTAGGATAGAAATAAAATAAATAAATGATAATCATCATCAGAATGACAACAATAATAGTTAAGGACTGTACAAATATTGATTTAACTTTTATTGTATTTTCATAGTAAACAAATTACAAGAACCAAAGGTTGATGAGACTTTCTATCATAAACAGAATCATAAACCTTCTAGGGTCTTGTGCTTTTTATACACTGCTGCAGAAGAGGAATATATTTCTCATTCCAGAACCATTTATTTAATCTGTTGCCTTAACATGTTCCATTTTCCACTCAGAATCCAAAGAAGAAAAATTATAGACGTGCTTATAGTTTGTCCTCAATCTGAAGGAGATGTATGACTTGTATTAAACCTCAGCCATTGTGTAGTTGTCCTTGCTCACATATTTAATTAATGAAATTTGAAATTTCTAAGTGATTTGTTCTGCTGAAAATTGTAAAGGGATAAAACTTCAAAACCCACTTTACTACTTGATCAGTCTTCAGCTATTAATGCAGGAGAAATGCTTTTCAGAGAAAATTGCTCCACTAGATTCTAGATGTACATTCAGAATGAAATACAATTACAGCTGTTCAGCCACATTTCTTAGATGTGCAAGCACATAAATGGAAGCTCAGTTATGCTGGACTGTCCATGTGCTGGGACGATTCCTCCTAGATATTGTTTGATATTGTTTGATGCTTTAAGAAGCTTGAAATACCATCTTGTATGCATTGTATACACTGGGAATCTGTCAGTTTATCAAAATACGTATTTTAAGAATCATATCAAAATGTGCATTTTGATGTACCGTGTCCACAGGCAAATCGGTTAAAATGTCCATTGTAACATAGGTTCAGAGCTGGCCCGCCTATGAGGCGGACTGGAGCACCCACCTCAGGCAGCAGAATCGCCACCACTAGTTTCTCGTGATGGCAGCTTCCAGTGCACAGCCCCAGTAAGTGAGGCTTTGGTGGAGGGAGGGCAGGGATGGCACCTTCCCATTTCTCCCAGGGCAGTAAAATAAGAAAGCCAGAAGACGATGTGGAAATATGGAGAACTGAATTTAAGATGGGGGGGGGGGCTGAGAGAAACCAAATTGACGGAATCGCTCATCCCTACTTATCCCAATCTTGGCACTGCTATTGGTACAGTTTTGGAAGTGTCTGGAGGACTATCTGACCCTGATGCTTGAGATCAATTTGAGTTAATGCAGTGGCAGGATGTGAACTTGGTGCCTGAAGTGGTGCAGCTTACCCTCTCGACCCTTGCCTGTCATAGCTTATTAGAGCTTGTCAGAAAGGATTGGCCAGGTTGGTCCTGCAGCCCTAAAAGGGGTTGTGCTGCACCCGCTCCTGTACCCTGAGTTTTTAAATACAGTGGTACCTCGGGTTACATACGCTTCAGGTTACATACACTTCAGGTTACAGACTCCACTAGCCCAGAAATAGTGCTTCAGGTTAAGAACTTTGCTTCAGGATGAGAACAGAAATCATGCCGTGTCGGTGCGGCAGCAGCGGGAGGCCCCATTAGCTAAAGTGGTGCTTCAGGTTAAGAACAGTTTTAGGTTAAGAACGGACCTCCGGAACGAATTAAGTACTTAACCTGAGGTACCACTGTAACTGTCATCCAGCTGACAAGGTCCATTTTTGGACCAAGGTTCTTGAGGGAGCGGGTGGCCATCCGACTCCAGACATTCTCAGGTTATACTGCCACATTTTCAATCTGGCTTCAGACCCATTTTTGGCACAGATAACATTTTGGTCAGGCTGGTTGATGACTGGCTTCAAGAGAAAGATTCAGGGGCAGAGTGTGAACTTACTGATTCCTCTGAGTCACAATAATACAATGATTCCGTTCTTATGTGCAGAATTGTTTCTAGACAGTAGCATTGAGTGACCCCGTGGCAATTGAGCTTTAAGGCTCTATCCTGTCCCTAATGTTATTTACCATATATATGTACAATAGCTGCTTGGTATGGTCATCAAGAAGGGACGCGGGTGGTGCTGTGGGTTAAACCACAGAGCCTAGGACTTGCCGATCAGTAGGTTGGCAGTTCGAATCCCCGCGACGGGGTGAGCTCCCGTTGCTCAGTCCCTGCCCCGCCAACCCAGCAGTTTGAAAGCACATCAAAGTGCAAGTAGATAAATAGGTACCGCTCCAGCGGGAAGGTAAACGGCGTTTCCGTGCGCTACTCTGGTTTGCCAGAAGTGGCTTAGTCATGCTGGCCACATGACCTGGAAACTGTACGCCGGCTCCCTCGGCCAATAAAGTGAGATGAGTGCCGCAACCCCAGAGTCGGCCATGACTGGACCTAATGGTCAGGGGTCCCTTTACCTTTACCTTTATGGTCATCAAAGGATTTGGTCTCATTCCTCATGACTCCTATCTGCAGCTAGGGGTGTTACATCTGGTTTGTGTGTTTAAAATTTGTTTTATTATTTGTAAGGTCACATTTGCTTTATATGCTAAACATGGAGACCATTCAGAAGACCAATATTGAAACATGTTTGCGTTCTGTGATACTTTGGAAGTTATTGTGCGCATTGTTGTGCATTGTACATTGTTGATACTTTGTTAGTACTCACTGTTTGTGTTTGAATTGTTTTGCTTTGGGACTATGAGCCTATCAGCTCCTGCCTCACCCCCAGCTCTCTCATTGTAGCACCTGCTCCTTCCACAATCCAACATGCTTGAGATGAGCTTTTTTATTTCTTATTTCCAACATCAGGTATGCTCATTCCCTCTGGAAATCTTTCAGAGGCTTCAATGAAGACAGGTGAATCTGGACAATGGAACAAGGAACTGGCAAAAGTTGAGAGGCAAGCCAAGAAAATCTGTCCTGTGTATATACACCATAGATAAATGGGTAGTGAAAATGATTGTAGTAGCTTGAAAGATATGAATGGTATTTGGAAACCAGGAGGAATACAGCATGGTAGATTTCAGCTAGGCAATTCCTTACTAAGTCCTCATAACAAGTTGATCAGACTGCTGGGCTGAGGAAGTTTATAGTAAAGTTGTGTGGTATTGAAGTCCGGTGTCATGTGATATTAAAAAGGCAACTTCCCACCCATTACCAAGATTTTCTTGATAGGCGATAAGGCCTGCAGTTTCCTCCTCCAGTA